AAGGGAAAATTCCTGAATGGTTAAAAGGCACTCTTTATCGTAATGGTCCAGGAGCATTTGAAATAAATAATGATTTGAAAACATCAGTTAATCATGCATTTGATGGTTTTGCTTTTATTCAAAAATATTCAGTTGATGGACAATCACAATTAGTTCGTTTTCGTGGATCATTTATTAAATCACATGCATATACTCAATCTTTATTAAATAATCGTTTAATTGTACGACAATTTGGTACAGATCCATGTAAATCAATATTTGGTAGATTTCAATCACTTTTTCGTTCTCATGATCCAACAACATCGACTGATGACACAGGTGTTACTGTTCAATTAGTACACAATCAATTATTAGCACTCACAGAAACCGTAACAGGCAATATTCTTGATTCGGATACACTTGAATTACAAGGTCCACTTATAACATTACCTTATAGTCAATCAATGGATTCAGAAATTTTTACAATAACAACAGCTCATGTTATGCATGATGATAAACGTCAAATGACAATTGGTTATAGTGGAAGAATAACATATAAAGGACATTGGCTTGATGTTATATTCATATCAGATCAATCATTTAATCAAGATAAAACAGGTTTTATTTATTTATTTCATTAACAAAAAAAAAATAAACTTCTGTTTAAATATAGATGATGATGATGATATTGATAAATGGATATCTGCTAATAATCGTTTTATTAATATAACAAATAATATGAGTTCGAAAAGTAAAGATTATAATCGTCTTATTAAATCAAGTACAAAATTATGTCGTTTTCCATATGAATATGCATGTTATATGCATTCAGCATCAATTAGTGAAGATTATTTAATATTAACAGAAATTCCATATCATTTTAATACATTTTATGCTATATGGGGTTGTTTAGCTGGTGGTACATTAACAGATATGTTTAAATGGAATGGTGAAACAATGCCAACTTATTTTCGTATTATTTCATTAGATACAGGTGAACAAATAGCACGTATACCTGATCCACCTTTTTTTACATTTCATCATATTAATTCTTTTCAAAATGAACATAATAAAAAACAAATTATTGTTGATATATGTGCTTTTGATGATCCAACAATAGTAAATGAACTTTATATTAATAAATTACGTCAAAATATATTTCCTTCAGGTGGTGGTTATCTTCGAAGATTTCAATTAGATTTAGATACCAACACATGTATTGAACCAAATATTAATGCAAGACAACCGCAAGGAATTCATTCAACTAGTTATTCAAATAGTATTGTGCCAGTTCAATTTGAATTAGCACGTATTAATTCAAAATATTTAACAAAACCATATCGATATATATATGCTGTACGTGCTCAACCTGGTCGTTTCCTTGATGCTTTAATTAAATTAGATGTTCAATCCAAAGAACAAGTTGCTTTATGGGAAGAAGAATGTACATCACCAAGTGAACCTATATTTGTTTCAAGACCTGATGCTAATTATGATCAAGAAGACGATGGAATTATTTTATCAGTTATTTTAGATCAAATAAATAAACGATCATTTTTACTTGTACTTGATGCTATTACATTTAAAGAACTTGCTCGTGCCTATCTTCCTATACATATACCGTTATCATTTCATGGCAATTTTTATTAATTATTCATATATTGAATGGTTTTTTTCTTAAAGTTTATTAATAGAGAAATAAAATTTCAGAAAAATAGAATTTATTTATTTTTTAGTTATTTCATACAATAATATATATACAGTTTAGTCAAAAATGATTGTTTTCTATGATTGAAACATTCGAAAATGGTTGCAAAATACTTCTCTGTAATTATTTGTGTCCCTAAAGATAGTTATTGTTGATAATCAGCTGCTTTATTTTATAAACTTTTCCAGCAGAACATTATAGACTTATGTGAAAAGTCTTTTAACTTCAATTAGAAACAATTTACAGAAAAACATAGTAAACTTCGTTGAGAATAACCTGAAAGCTATTCAGTAAGACAAAGTAAAACTATATGTCTTATGAAAAAATTGTCGTTTCCATCGAATATTTTTAGAAGTCAAACACTGTTGACCAGATATTATTAATCAAATATTCTTGAACGAGCTACTATTATGTTTTTTCGGATGTCACAAGTCGACCATTTGGTAGTCCTTACAAACTTCTTTCGAAATGATAATACGAGAAAAATATTCATTTCAATGTTGAATACAAACGTTCCTTAGATATATCGAAAGATATCAGGTTATTTGAGATGGAAATACAAAAATGATGACATTTTAGAACATGACTGAAGGTTTCTTAACTGTGTGGTAACAACAGTTCCGATTTGGTATCAAAACGTTGTCATCAACGTATATTTTCATCGTATAGTTGATTGTACTGGAATTAGAAATAAAAGTGGTATGAACCAATTTGAGTGTTATTGAAACCACAGTCTTTAATTCTTAAAAAACAATATAATAAATATAACTAACGAAATCAAAGTTAGTTTCTAAAGTATTTCATTAAAATTTAAGATTGATTATTTGAATTACTCAATAGAAAAATTTCTTTTAACAATCAATACTGATGTTTTTATTTTAACATGACTATTTTTTACATAGATGACTTTTTTCTATTTGACTTGATTATCTCTATTGATTATTGCTTTGTTTATTTTGATATTAAATTAAATAAAAAGTTTTTTTCTTTTTTTGAAAATTAAATTAATAGAAATATATTTTGCCATATTTTTCAATGTAACTAAATGGTATCAGCTTATATATTAACAATTAAAACTATGGATAAACAATCAGTTAAAGAATTTTGAAATATTGAAGAGAAAAGTTTCTCAAATAAATAAAAACTTAAAAGAAAATCATAATTAATTGTTCAGTAAACTTGTTCTCCTTCATTTGATTATTCAAATCTAGGAAATTTCTAATCTTAAGCATTTTTAATAGATAAAAGTTGATATCGAATGATATATAATTGTTCGGCAAGCATTTCTAATTGGTTATTTCTCTCATTTATTTATTCTTCTTGTTTGATAGATCTTTTTGAAAAAAAAACTTTATTTAACTTAGAATTTATAATGTTTTTGCAATAGAACATAATCGACTTTCCTAGAGTCAAAGAAAACTGTTTCTATCGGTATTATGAAGAGGCTAAATTAGACCAAAGAAATTCCATCTGATCTATCACTATCAAACAATTTTAGAGTTCATAGGAAGAAAAAATACATATATGGTGTATATTCAAATGAAACATTTCAATAATTCTCCTTGAAAAGAATTGTATTGACATGCATCTCAATCAGTAAAAGACAAAACTAAGACTTTTCGATAATCGATGAAAACTAGCTAAGGAAAACCAATTCTTAGTCAAGAGTCAATTGATAAATAAAGTTCCATCTTGGAATTAAAATTTGAATTCCATGTAATTCTAGAAAATTGATGGAATCATTCGAGGTAACTAGACTGTGTGAAAAAGCAGAGGATTTAAGATCACAGACAAACATTGAAAAACTATTTATTAGATAAAATAAAAAAACTGAATCAATTTAATAGTAGAGAAGAATATGAAATTGAAATAGAAGTTTTTACTGATAATAATTTCCAAATGTGTACATTAACAAAAGTTTTTAAAGAAAAATTTAAGCAAATCGAACAATCTGAATGTATTGTAAGCATTGATTTTTATATATTTCTTTATAGTTCATTTCAAGTCTTCAAAAAATTCATTTAGAAAAAGATTCGATTGTCCTCTTGGAAAACATATACGAATGGAAATATTCGACTCATTGAGCTTTGAAACATCTTACAAATAAAGTGGAAATCATCTATTCATCTTCTTATATTAACTCCATGAACATGAAATTTTTAATAAATTCCATAAAGAAATAAAATGTTTATTTGACATTCAATCAAATTATTTGCAAAGAGATATGACTCACAAAATGACGTCTCTTCTTCTAGTTTTTATCAATGACTTTGATTATCAACGTTAACTCATATTAGAAAAAAAATGATAGTTCAATCAATCAGAATTTTATTTGACAACTGGTCAATTTTATATTTAAAAATAAAATTAATTAGATTGATTTCTTTATCTATAGAAAATAACACTATACAAATTCTGTAAAATCAAAGTTAAATTGATTATAAATAAACTCAAAGAAAAATATTAATCAATGATTGGAGTAGAAGATAGATCATCCATAATATCGGATCGTCATTTCAATATTCTCATTGAAGAACATGAAAATCATGAAGTCGAATATGAACTAAGACGACATATTGATAAAACAAATTTTGAAAGATTTATTTGAGTCTTCACTAATCGACGATCTTGTCTCTTTCTTTCCAGATTCTTGTTTTTATTGACTTTCAGACAAGATTCCTGTATTCAGGCAAGATTCTTTTCCACAGGAAAGTAAAAAGAATCTTGCCTGGAGCTCAAGATGACCAGAATCTTGACTGATTAACCAGAAATAAAAGAATCATGCAAGAATCATAAGATAATCAAGATATATTTTAAGTTCAGACAAGAATCTTTTTCTTTCCTTTTGAAAAGAATCTTGTCTGCTATTCAAGATCACCAGCATCTTGTCAGAATATCATGAAAACACAGAAGCTGGAAAGAAACATAGGATATTTTAAATTTCTTGATGTTCAGAGAAGATTCTTATTGATAGGAGGAAAAAGATTCTTATCAGCTTTTTAAGAAAAAGGCACGTGATGTCTTTGTGTATTCGAATATATTAAAGAAACGTTGGAATATTATTTGTTCATTTTGTTGATATGAAAACTATAGTATAATTTCACTTTGGGTATGTACCTTTTCTAAAATGAACATTTTATTCGAACGACCTCTGAGATAGCTCTTCGTTTCGATAGGATATAAAGATAGCAATGAAATATACAATTGCGACTTTTTCTGATACACTTTTATTGAATGCATATCGATATTCTACTAATCAATATCTTTCTCTTTGTTTCAATTTGTGTACACCTTACAGCATTTATATTTTTTTATGGACGAAGAAAATTTCGATAATTTGTTCAACTTTGTGCTGGACAATGCTGTTAATAAATTAGGTAATCGCAATATGTATTTAGTTTCTTCTTTTTGACTCATATGTCATCCTTTTTTAGAACCATCACTACATACACGTAAACAACGACGATGGCGTGATAAGAAAAAAGATAAATTATATTGTACTCAAATATCTTTGCCTCCTTTACTGATTAAACAAATTGTAAATGATCTATTTTAACTGAATCATTAAAAAGTAAAATTTTTTTCACGGTTCATTTTCATTTTCTAGAAAGAATCAAATCAATATTTATCCAAAACTAATGAAAATTTTGAAGATGTTGCTGCTAATAATCCAGTTTTTAATGATAATATACTTGTTCATCATATACTTATGGATGATACAAACACTGATGGTGCAGATGCTAGTGGTACATTAGATGATGATACACATACTATTGGTACATTTGATGATGATACACTTGTTGATAATTATATACTCGACGACGATGATTATATTTATAAATTCATATGAAATTGAATATATTTTGTTGCATGTTGTTTTTTTATACTTTACGTGAAGTTTGTAATAAATTAGTAAGAGAAAGATAATAATAATAATAACCTGTAAAAAGCCTTATTACTATGATAAGAATCAGGCAAGACGCTACAGATGTAAGATTCAGACAAGAATCCAAGGAAAAAAGAATCAAACAAGAATATAAAGAAAAGTAAGAACCAGACAAGAATTTAAGGAAAGCAAGAATCAGACAAGAAGGCAAGAACGCAAGAGTCTTGGCTGGCGAGACACTTCTTGCCTCGCCAGCCAAGATTCGGTCTACATGAATCTTGTCAGAAAGGCAAGGTCAGTTTTTTCAGGCAAGAATCTTGTATAGAAGGAATAGAAAAGGAATCTTGGCTGAAAATAAAAAAAAACAAGAATCTGGAAAGAATGAGACAAGATCGTCGATTCGTGTTTTTCTTTTGTTTGTCTCTTAAATTAAAAAAATCAATTCATAAATCACGATAGAATATAGATAATAGTGCATAACTACGAAATTTAAACTTTTTAGGTGGTACATCGAATAAGAAACTAACAACATTATCATGTAATATTTTTACAATCTTTCTGATAATCTTTGTTATTATGTTAAAAACAATCGAATATTTCGAGATACAAGAAAAAAAAAAGATTATCGATGCTCCTAATATTTGATTACCACTTTGATCGATACATTATTTTAATTCGACTACTATCTTATCTATCATTCATTCATTGATATATAGAAATACTAAATTAGTTTCATTACTTTTTATTGCCACTTTTTAGGACGATGAATGCATCATTGTATTCATGTCTTTGTAGTTCCTCTTTCAATACACTCCAAATTTTTTGTGTAGGTCAAATGTTACATTCGATTGATGAAAATATGTTTAATGACATTCAAAGTAGACTGCATCTTTTGTTAAATGCACAAGTTAAAGAGTTCAAATTTCGTAGTTATGTACTATTATCTATGTTCAATAATTTAGCAAAGTTTCCAAGGATTTGTTTGTTTGTTTTTAACTGCGAGAACGATGAATTTTAAAAATTTTTTCAGAACTTCTGAAACATTCATTATATAATATTCATCGTCCTTATGAGAAAAAAATTGTTAGTCAATAACCACCATTTCTTCGTTCAAAATTTTTATTGTTTGATCTATTTCGACAAGTTCGTATTCAAAAATATTTAGATTTATTTAATCGTTTTAGGTAATTTCTTTTTTAAGAAATAATAAAACAAAATTTTACTTTTTTCATTTTAATTATAGATTTGATATTGAAATTGACATAAATAAAATATCTGGTAGTCAATCATATGTATTGGATAGGATATGATGAAATACTTTCATATTTCAATGATACAAGTGAAAAGAAACATATTGAATGCCAATTATGATTCGTACTGATTTAGCACGAAAACGAACGATAACTGTTGTTTTGACGTCTTGATCAATTAACTAAATCATGAATATAAAAATAGGAATATACTTTATTTCAATTAATTTAATATTTGAATTGATTATTTAAAATAGATCTTATGAATGACCTACATTCGGGTGTGAGTGTAATTGTGCCCAAAATTCTACTCCACACCCACACAGGCACCCTATTAAGTGTCAAGTAATTGTATCAAGATCTTGGGTATGGGCGTGTCTGTAAGCTTGAGTGAGGGTGTGGTTATATTTGTGGGTAGGAATATGTGTGAATGAAGAGAAGATCCACATCCTCTTTCTTGGAATACACACCCACATAACGTATTCCAACACCATTTTATGGTAACCGTTCATCCATTCTAGTCAACAAAGTAAAAAACTTATTAAAGCACTCTTTGAAATCTTTTATTTTTGGTTTTTCTGTGGGATCTGGAATATCAACATTGTTCAGTAGACCACTTAGTAAAGAAAGAGATAAGAAAAATGGAGTTTTTCAGTACACTTATGAAAACTATTATAGTGCATCTATCGGTTAGACTGAGAGATATATTGAAACGAGGAGAGAAAAGCAAACTAGAATGTGCATATAAGCAACAGTGGAGTTTGTTGCCATCTACAAATTCACATCCATAAGATCGAATAACCAGTACACACCAACATCTATATCCACTTCCATAGCTACAACCACTTCGATACGCACATTCACAGCACCTAATCACATCCTGCTCACGTCAGAGAAATGTATCCTATTTGGTTATTATATATGTTATCAAATATCAAAAAGCAACCGGTATATCGAGATTATTGATCTAAGATATTCCAAAAAGAGTTTCAGCATCTCTAAGAGAAATTATGAAACTAGGAAACATTACTTGTGGTCAAAGTTTGCTAATGTATTATTTTAAACAAGATTATTAAACAAACCAATGTAAATGCAATCAAAAATATATGTTATGTAATTCTGGTTGTCATAACTATGTAAGCAGCATCTATGAATAAATCATATTGAGTGTATCTTAAGTTTTTTTCTAATAATTTATGCTAAGAAAATCTACTATTTATTCCGTATCTTCATCTTTTTTTATAATTGATGGATAATTTTAATTGCTACATACATAAATGAATAGTTATTAGCAAATATTCTATGTTTGATCATATGTTCAGCAGTATGTTATTCGATTTAGTAGATTATTTATTGGTACACAAGTTTAAAAATAACTTCATCATTGGTTTAACGTTGATGCAACATAAGCATCGATGTCGATTTAGACACAATCAAAAAAATAAAAACAATGTAAAGCTTACTGGGGCATTATCTATCGTCCTTTTATAGTTGCTCTCAAGATTTCATTGATATTTCAGACTGAAAAGCGCTGTGGAAGTATAGTCACCTTCAACGTTGCTAACCATTGCACATTTTTGAAATAAGTTTAGTAAAACAAACGTTTAAAAATGTCTAGTTACTTGATGTGTTAGGTTTTCACAATTTCTCATCACTTATAGATTTCGCAGAAACTAATCACTGCTCTCACTTAAAGAAGTTGATATAACTTAAAGCACTATCGATAAAATTTATTCGTTATTTTTATTGAAAAAAGTGCTTTTTTTTGAAGGTATTAAGGCGAAGAGGTGTGAATAATCATGTTGGTATAACTTCTCGTCCTTTGGCACACATACTACCAAAAGCCAATGTTAGTTGATCATTGAGAGACATTCATATTCTTTTGAAACTATAAGCTAGATACATGAAATAATGTCAATAGATCAATTAAATTTTATGGAGCTTGGAAATTGAACGCCTTGACACCTTCAAGGAGCCGTCCATACTGATAAACATGTTCATTATCTTTGGCATAGCCATTTTGGAGTACTTCAAAACTGAAAGGTTTGGCCTTTTCCATAATCTGGCCCATGAAGAACACATGATTCATGTCTTTACCTGAATAGGATAGAAAAACAATTACGAAAACTTAGAAAATAATAGAAGAGCAAAAGACCGTAGCCTTGACCGATATCTTTGAAGTGCACCCAATTAGCTTCCGGTAAAAGACGACCACCGACGAAAACATTGGATCCTTTTACTTCGTAGGATGGTATCGGGTTGAACATCGAGCCACTCCATGACTGTGCGGGTGGCACAAAGCCAAACGGTTTAACGCCGTGAACAATCTGGCCATGTAGATAGACATGGACATTATCTTTTGCATAACCATTACTGAGAAGTTCAAAATGGAAAGCTTTAGCGTCCGGAATGATTCGACCCATAAAGAATACATGATCCATGTCTTTACCTAGAGAATATCAAAGAAAAACTATGAAGAATTTGAAAATCATAAAAGAAAAACAGACCATAGCCGTCCCCTAAATCTTTGAAATGTACCCATTTGGCTTCTGTTACAATATCGTTGCCAAAAAAGACATTGAATCCTTGCGTTTTGTACGATGGCATGGTAAAAGGCATCGTACCAGTAAAAGGCTGACCGAACATCTTCTGGTGTAAAATCTGACAATGACAATCATATCAAATCATGAATGAAACAAACCACGCAGTAAATCTTTCTCTTTATCTGTTTGTAAGCAGTTAGAAAAGTTATGACGAACTCAAGTCTAACACTTATTAATCTAAATGCTAGCCATTTCGCTTGTATGCCAAATGTATTAGAAGATTTAATACTGCGATATTTTCCTATAGTTTACCTGAAGAATAAATGAGAATCAGTACAATACATTTGTAGGTTGTAGGTTTTATACTATGATAAACGAAACTAACGTTGAAAATGTTTTAGTTTAAATTTTGGACGAATTTTATTGAAAAAAAATATAATAGAGAATTCCGTAGCGAGAAAGACTATCATTATATGAATTAACTCTAGGCTTAAGCATTAAGAGATGTATCAGTCTCATACTACAAAATTCGTGAATCAACTCAATTACTACGATCTTTCAAATTTTATAGTCTTTAGATATTTATAATAATTAATGCTTTGCAAATAGTTCATTCTTCCAGTGCTAGAGTGATACGTTATAACAGCGTCATCCAACTGGTTTCAATAGTAATAATTCTAGTCAAGCACTTGAATTTTTATCGAGATTTCAATTCATTGGTCTGTCACGAAACAGGATAGATTTTCAATCTTCATAATAGTTATTAATCTATTCACTTCTATTAAGTAGTAAGCAAGAGTACGAGTCTCCACTTATTTCTCCTCGATGAAACATATAATAAAGAGAAATGTTTCTTATGAATCTCAAAAAAGCCATCGTCACGATAATTAGAACAGATGTCAAGACATCGAAAATCAAAGCACATCTTTCATTATTTTACTGTTAGGAACAGCTCAATAACTGTAGACTTTTATTTATGAATGACTTTATTCCACAATGCAAACCCAGACAATTCATGTACTTATCAGCATGCTCAATATTGGTGACATAACTAGAACTATACGTAGTTTAATAGCTGCGTTAAGTATTCTAAGAGTCATTCAAAAAAATACATTGAGAGCTATGGCAAGTTGAATTATTTCATCAAGAAAAAGGCTAAAAAACAAAGATT